ATATATATATATTTGGTTCTTGATTTATATATATACATATATATATTTCAAGGATATATATATAGTGCATGCAATTGGATGTATGAGATTGGACAATATAACACACGCCCCGCACATGCCTTGGACTGGTGTTATATGTTGGTTTGGGTTCGATGTAGTATAGTATTCGTTGGTAAATTTGGAAGTTTTAGCTTTTTTCAGAAGTTTTAGCTTTTTTCAGATGTTTCGTGTAAATGACTTGTGTATGACACTTCTAACAATACTGATAATTGTTATTCGTTCAAAACATATGGACGTTTCTAAAACATGATCGATTTGGGGATATATATATATATGTAACTAAGTACGACGACTAAAATAGCAATATTCTCATTCTAAATCTATAACTATCTTGAAATACCTTTGAACAACGTAAAGCATTACCTGTATACACCGATGTAGGCAACATTATTCTAATCAAGCGAATACATGAGTAGGTTCCGTATGCTGGGAACGTGGCGGTGGCTACGACGTGCCTTGGCGTAGTGCCATATCTGCTTGAGCATGCCCCCTTGGCCTGCATGCCTCGACTGGACGCGCTCATTCGGTCCCTCGTGTCGGTGGCGCCGCCCGTGGTGGTCGCCAAGCTGAGCATGCGGCTGCTCCTAAGCGAGTTTTCAATTTTCAAAGATCAAACGGCCACAGTGTTGCTAAGCTCATTGCACTGGAATTCGTGGGAACAGTGGGGTGTGTGGGAACTCCTCTCGGCGGAATGGCAGGCCAAACATCACGACAAAGGTATATATCACTTTATACCTTTGTGGGTCATATATATATATATACCAATACTACCTCTGTCCGAAAATAAGTGTAAGTTTACGGTACATTTATTATATTATACAGTTTATTGCACGTACACTTTACCACAAATATACTCGATACCTGTATAAATGGATGTTTTACAAATATAAAATTACAAAACTTATACGTGAGCACAGTCAAAAATGATCATCATTCCCGCTGTTTTTCGTGGATAAATCGCTGTCCTTCCTATTTAGGACAAAATTTCAAAAGTACTCCTAATGTGTGGAAGTGATTCACACCTGAAATGTCCATTCGTGCAATCACTTTCGGATAGAGGTAGTAGTACTATATATTTTGTGTGATTATTGAAGCTGATATATTCATGGCTCGCTATACACATTGTTCAAGAACTGTCCGTATGAGCTGTTTGGTGTTGTCCATGGGTGCGTGCCTGCCTGCTGTGAATGCAAATATTGATGCCATCAAACATATATATTATATTTTTTATTCTGATGATATATATTGTAGCGACGGTGGCCGCATTGCGCAAAGTACTAGCATGTTTAGACCCACAAACCCATGGCGAAGCGCTTAGTGGCATTTTGAGGCTGCTGCTGCAAATTTGCCCCGATATGGCGCTGTTGCAGTGTGTGCTCAAGCTGTCGGACGCATTCGATCCATTTCCCAGCAGGTATATATATATATCTTTACAAAAAGTATACATTTTTAATTGGAATTATATAGACTTATGATACACATATCGTGTGTCGAGTAAGTAATTGATGTTGTGTACAGTGTGCTAGCTATTTGGTCGGATAAGTGGCTGTCGAGCGTGCAGCCGTTAGTGGTGGGGTTGCTACATGATACTAAAGACGCGGCGGTGGACGTACGTCGACAGCTGAGCAAGTTGCCCGCGAACGCGCTGCTTCTACAAGAGCCATACGTTCGAGCGGCGTTGCTGGCCGAGTCAATTCCAGGCCAACTGAGTGGCTCTGCAAGTTGTTCTGAAACGGCCATCGACGAGCCAGTGATGAAGAAACCCAAGGTGGACGGTTGAGAGGGAGATAGATATATTGATATATATATATATATACTACCTCTGTTATGTAATATTTTGCGGGTGTGACGCAGGTTGTAGGATTAATACTATTAGAATACTCCTATCGAATCCATTGGTACAGTAGTAATACTAGTACTATTGAATAGTAAGGGGCTGGTCGCGGAATATTTCTGTCCATGTTGGTTAGTACCCAAATTATCCGGATAACACAATCATTCACGCTTCCGGAATAACTCAGTCATGGATGCGAGTTTTGAGGCGTGGATGGTCCATCGACGCCTGGAATAGTCCGTTCATGTCTGGGACTCATTTTCATAAAAAACGAAAAAGTATTGATCGACATTTTTTGGATTGCGAAAATATTTTGTCCGGATACGTCTCAGTTTCGGACATGGACTTTATCTTCCCCGACCAGCCCCTAACTACTATACTACTGTATTAGAAGTAGTAACTACTATACTATTAGAAGTCTCCTATCGAATCCATTGGCACAGTAGTAATACTAGTACTATTGAATAGTAACTACTATATGTATTAATAGGATATTAGCTTTTGATATATTAATTTAAAAGATCGTTGGCATCATGGCGACTTCCCTGCTATCTATCGTCCATTCTAAAACTATATTGTAACATTTCGTTTGAAAATATATAATATATATTACGTCCGATTGCAGTTGATGGTTTGCCGCGAACGTTGATAGATATGACAACGTCACAGATTAGATCGGATCATCCGATACACAATCATACTGGCTTGCGCACCATGATAGATGGAGCGACCGACGAAGAAGGGGTCGCCATGCTAGCTATGAAGGGTCACCCATGTCAAAATGTAAACCAAGACCTACCTTTTGGATGTATCACAGCATATGAGCATAGAACAACCTATGGGTTTATGTTCCCATTCGAGGATTTTGATGGAGGCACTGGACTCTCTCGGGGGTGTTTTCAAGAGTGTTCAGATACGGATCCCTTGGATGATAGAGCTCCAAATCCTTTGCCCCCCTTGATGCAGCCTTATCGCCTTGGTACGAGTCCAAAGGTACTACTACCCACGTGTTCAAGTTATTTGCCTGCTTGCCGTCATTGCACATGCTGTGTTCAGCGGAAACCTTTGCATAGTGAAGTTGCTTTCAGTCCATGTGTTGCATGCCGTGCCCGGTGCTGGACTTGGCAGCGTGGAATATGAATAATGTCCTCGAGTTTCTCCATGCTGTCGTGGGCCACACGGGATGCACTTCTGGGGCTACTATCTATGGATTGTAACGACGTCACTCCAGTGGCGTCATAGGGTTATCGACCAATCAGAACAGACGTCACTGTTGACGTCAGTTTACGACCAAGCTCGATTGGCGTGCGGCGTGCTCGGCCATGGACACCAGAAGTTCCTTCTGCAGAGCGCACGTATATATAGCATTAGATATAGTATAGTCACAGTAGTCATGCATGTAGATGTAGATAACGCCAATCAATCAGTTTTACAATTTCCTCTGCGTTATCAACTCCCTACATGGATTTTGCTGCTCAAAACGGCCATTTGCACATTGTTTGGTATCTGACGGCTTTATGCCAATATCGTCAAGCAGGGTGTACGAAATCTGGTCTAGAACGGGCTGCAATGGCCATTGACTGGGCTTTTCTAGTCGCGCATTGAGTTGGGGGCAGGGCGTTGCGAGGAAAGCGATACATGGCGACGCTGAACTCAATTTTGGACTCGTCGTACAAGCTATCTGCGGATACGCCTAGCATGTTTGTGATACTCGACCAGCGCATACTATGAATAGTAACGTTACTACGTAGTAGTAATCCGTTCTAATCGAGTTGACCTCTCCAATA